CTCCCTGCTCAGCAGGAAGCCTGCTTCTCCCTCTGCCTCTGCTGCTCCCCCTGCTTGTGCTCTGTCTCTCTCTCTGACAAATAAATAAATAAAATCTTGAAAAAAATAATATATAATGGCATAGTCAGGAAAAATACATAATGCTGAGAGCAACAGGTTGGTGTCCTGTAGTTTACCTAAAACCTTCATTTATTGATTTGAAAGATAGGATTCTACCTGAGAAGTTTTAAGGATAGCATAGCGAGTGTATAGATCTTTTAGGAGATCCTAATATCTTTTATTAATAATTTATTTAATCTTAATATCACTTATATTTGTTTTGTTTTTCTTCTTCACTGCATTTATTGGTAGCATTATTATAGTTATTAAAATGTATACAGCATATTTTGTGAAATGTCTTTATTACTGACTTGATGTCATGGATATGCAGCCTGCTCAGGAAGAACACAGAGAGGATCCAGACTTTGAAACTAAGGAAGGAGGAGGCCTTGAAGACTGCTCTAAAATAGAAGTAAAAGAAGAAAGTCCTGACTCAAAAGCAGAAAGAGAATTAAAAGCTTCCCAGAAATCAATCAGAAGACACAGAAACATGCATTGCAAGGTTTCTTTGTTGGATGACACAGTTTATGAATGTGTTGTGGAGGTGAGTGCATTTTAATTTCCATAGTCAGAACTCTTACGGATTGTTTCATGTAGGGTTGAATAAGTAGTGCCAGTGACTGTTTCTATGAACTGAAATGTTAATAGGGATTTTCTGGAAGTGGAGGCCTGGAAGGATTATGACTGAGTCTTATTTTCTTCTCCAGTTTTTTCTGTATCTGCCAAAACTTGTGAATTGAGCATGTGTTACTTTTATAATCCAAAACAATTTTGTTTAAAAGCAATTGGTTGTTATTTATAGAGTGACCTGCCATGACTAGATTTTCCAGGTAGCCTCAGTTTCTGATATTAGGTCTAGCTATTCCCATAATTATATTTGTAAAAAAGTTACGGTGTGGTCATTTCTGCTGTCCCAGATCTAAACCTTAATAAGCCTTGATTTATTCAATGCATTTCTTTAGCCCTATGAAATAGGATATAAACAATTTAAATCAAGTAATGCCATTTTTTAAAATACTCTGTTATTTTCTGTAATTGAGTCAGGACTGAATAAAAAATGTCAGTTACCTGGTTATTCTTTTGCTCCTTCAAGACAAGTTAAAATCCTTAAAAGTCTACTAACCATTTTTTTTAACTAGAGCAGTAATTATCAATTATGATATGCTTGATATAAAGCAATTGTGATTATTACTAATAATAGCCTTTATTGATAAGACATATAATTCACATATACTTGTATTTTAGGTATGTAATTATGAATTGAATTATCTATATGCAAATGCAAATATATCAAAGCACTAATAATCTAAAATATCACCTTATATCTATTAATAGACAGTCCCTCTCCAAGTTTCAAAGAATAAATCAAGAAAAATACACTATTGCACTTTGAAAATAGCTCCTGTGCCTGGTAAACTACCAGAGACCTATGGTCTGCTCTTTCTGCTTCTTACCACTAGCTAGCTGAGAGATGGGAAAAGCTATTCCGCACATTCTTCCCATTCAGACCAAGGTCCAGATCTGGGTTTTCTATACCTGAAATATTTGGGGGCAGATATGTTTCAGAATTCAGAATATTTTGGGTTTTAGAAAGGCAGTAAGTACTTATGCTACATATTTCATAACACACCCAGGAGGGTGTGTGGCAGTACCAAGATTCATTCTAAGGTAGGTACATGAAGACCATAAATAGCCTCATAACAGTTCAGTCAGGATTTGCCTTCAAATGAACTTTGGAACCCTTCCCCCCCCCGCCCACCAAAAAGCCTAAAATTTTACTTTTTAGAGCGTCTGGATTTTGGAATTATAAATAAGGGAGTAGGGACCTGTACGTGAAGAATTCCCAAATCATCTCTGTCATTTGGAGTGAAAACATAAGAGGGAAAAATGAAGAAAATGATTACTATAGATGGGTTAAGTCTGAAAATGAATTAACATCTATGTGAATTACTAACAGTCATTAAAAATAACTGTTCATTGAGAGGACATGCGTGTGTGTCAAAAATGATTTGTAATTTTTTTGACGTATTTAAAAAATATATTTCTCAGAGGTCATTAGCATGTTTGATTTTTTTCAACAATTCCAGTAGCTAGGTAAGATAGATATAAATATTCTTATCATTTTACATGTAAGAAAGCTAATGTTCAGAACTATTAATTGAATTGACCCAGGTTGTTTTGCTTGTAAATAGAGGAGCCAGGACTTTTTGCCTATACATCTTATCCTCTAAGTTAGGCTAAGTAGGAATATTAGTACCCAAATTTGGCAGTGGTTTGATTTTCTAAGAAGTGTTTCTTTATTAAGAAGACAATTCGTAGCACCACTGAAAAAGCCACTGCAACAGGTAATGTCTGTTGGGTATCTAGACTTTGTGCATTTTTCAGGAGGGAGTTGAGACATGGCTCATTCTCTTGGGACATTTGGTCTGAGAACAGTAGCAAGTGTAATGGTTTCCATAGTCACTATTAACTGTCAATGTTGACATTAGATTCAGTGAATTTAGGTGGTCATGATGACAGCAGCCCATAGCAAGCTTCAGGAAATACTACACCAAAAATAAAGAATGTGATGTTTAAGATGGAAGTAGGGAATGGTTGATGAAGGGAAGGTAAAATTTTGCTTTAAATTCTAGCACTATTTCCAAGCCACTATAAGTGTGTTGCATATTTAAGCTGACAACTGACAAATTAAGAAACAGGATTTCTATAACCCACATTGCTCTACTTATGCTGTATAAACCATCATAAAGTGGTGGTAACCACCGATAAAAGAGGAAATTGGGAAGTGACATTTTATTTTATTTGGTGATAAATACAGGAATAAGAGGAAACCTCAAAATATGTATGTCTTTGCAGAAACATGCTAAGGGACAAGATTTGCTTAAACGAGTGTGTGAGCACCTCAATCTTTTGGAAGAGGACTACTTTGGTCTAGCCGTTTGGGATAATGCAACCTCAAAGGTGAGGAGACTGATTGTCAAAATACTTGTTTAAATTCTTTTATTGTCGTTAAGAGTGTATTTATGCCTGCCTCTCCAAGATACAATGTACTTAAGAGTTATTCTTGCCTATTCTTGTTTCTCAGATTTTCCCTCTAGAACATTTTAAAGAAAAGACCATTGCTGTTGTGTTCTTTCATCATTGAGAGAAAGTATCCACTGTACTGTCTTTTTAAAGGACAGGGGAAGTACAGAGCTATGATGTCCTGATTAGCAAGTAGATACCAATAACTTCATATATTATGCAATTAGTATTGTATCTAATAGGTTCATAGTAAATATGTGTTGAATGGATGATCTATCAATATTATAATTATACAATAATTATATATAGTTATAATTTTTTTTTTTTTAAGATTTTATTTATTTATTTTAGAGAGAGAGAGAGAGCATGAGCAGGGGGAGGAGCAGAGGGAGAGGGACAAGAAGACTCCATGCTGAGCACAGAGCCCAAATTGGGGCTCCATCCTAGGACTCTGAGATCATGATCTGATGTTTAACCAACTGAGCCACCCAGGCGCCCCTGGTTATTCTTTAGTAAACTAGATGTTTCAATGTTCTTTGGCTATGATTGTGAGACCTGACTAATAATACTGGGATTTTGAGATCAAGAGACTAGAAACCCAACAATTTTGAAATATGTGAGCTCTAGGGGCGCCTGAGTGGCTCAGTCGTTAAGCGTCTGCCTTCGGCTCAGGTCATGGTCCCAGGGTCCTGGGATCGGGCCTCGCATCGGGCCCCGCATCGGGCTCCCTGCTCCGCGGGGAGCCTGCTTCTCCCTCTCCCACTCCCCCTGCTTGTGTTCCCTGTCTCGCTGTGTCTCTCTCTGTCAAATAAATAAAGTCTTAAAAAAAAAAAAAAAAGAAATATGTGAGCTCTATAGCCTGCCTTCTCACTTTTGCTCTCAGCATTTGCTTTCTAAATCTGTCTTCTCTAAACTTTATTTTCTTTTTAAGATTTTATTTATCTGAGAGAGACAGAGATAGCAAGAGAGAGAACAAGCTGGGAGGAGAGAGAGAAGCAGACTCCCTGCTGAGCAGGGAGCCCAATGCGGGGCTTGATCCCCGGATTCTGGGATCAGGGTCCTGAGCCAAAGGCAGAAGATGCTTAACCTAATGAGCCACCCAGGCACCCCTAAATCTGTCTTCTGTATTTTGTTTCTTTATTTTTCTCTTTTTCACTATTGTAATAACTTCACTGTCTACACTTAAAAATGCCTAGCATTGAAAATCATATTTTTCAGAAAGAAAAAAGGTCTTAAGGAACTTAAAGGAGGATACTTCTGCAAAAGACTGTAATTTAGTATTATAACATGAAAATTTAAGGATTTTTTGGTGATTATTTTAATCATATACTTGTCACTGTTGTCTGATAAGTGATCAGAATTCTGCATTTGCTGTTCTTAATAGAGAAGTCTATGCATTCTAAGAAATACAAATAAAAAGAACAATAAAGAGTTGGGGACCTTTTAATCTCATCATTTCTCGCAGTATAGAGACATTGGCAAAGGATAATTCCTGCAAACTTTGCACCTTTATTAGATTGATACCCTCAAAGCATAGTATACAAATATCTTTTTTAGGAAGGATAAAATGGTATTTGCTATATACAGTTCAGTGCATTGAATTTGAAATATGCATTTCACTAAGTTGGCCTCAGGGGTAAGGTAATTTCTCCGTGTGCGTATATTTAGCAAGTCAAAGCATTAATAATTTATTCAGGATGTATAGGTGGGATATTTTTGTATTTTAATGGAAAGTCTCATGCTTAATGGACTGGAGTACTGTCTGTTGGTGATTAAATACCCAAATATTAATTTTGGCACACTTGACATGATTTAGGGTTTTGCCTACAGTAATTGGTTTTGATTATAAGAGCTCCCCTTTTCTGTCTTTTTAATAGCAACATCATGACAACAGAGAAGAGTTTAGTGGCTGAAGCTGAAAATTCACAGCACCAACAACAGAAGGAAGAAGGTGAGGGAGCCACAAATTCAGGCCAACAAGAAACTCAGCTGGAAGAGGCTTCTCAAGAGGCAGCTGAGGGAGATAATCAGTGTGAGCAGAAGCTGAAAACATCTAATGGAGATACTCCTACACATGAAGACTTAACCAGAAACAAGGAGCGGACATCAGAAAATAGGGGCCTGTCACGGCTGTTCTCCTCATTTCTTAAAAGGCCAAAGTCTCAGGTTTCTGAGGAAGAAGGCAAAGACGTAGAGTCAGCTAAAGAGAAATGTGAAGGAGGTCAGAAAGAGATAGAATTTGGACCCAGTCTTGATGAAGAGATCATTTTAAAAGCCCCAATTGCAGCTCCTGAACCTGAACTCAAAACAGACCCATCCTTGGATCTTCATTCATTAAGCAGTGCAGAAACACAGGTAAGGATGTGCAAATGTGTGGGAGGTGTGTAATGAAAACAAGTTATACATTTTATTTTTCACTTAATAACATTTGGTGTTATTTCTTACTAACCAGTTGACTTAGGCATTGATAGGAATAAGTAACATGAAGCTTTGGAATTTCTGTTGTAAAGAAATTAATGTAGTCAATGGAAACTTGACTTTTTAAAAGATATACTCTATACATTTATATTTACGTTTTATAAATCAAAGAAAACAAAATGAAAGAAAAGTATTTATCAAATGAGTTTATTCAGGCTATGTATTAGTTAGCTGTGATAATAGAACAAGTCTAAGATTTTTAATGGGGGGGGAATTACATGGTTTAAAGTTCATTTTGTTGGAATTATTAGGAATGGGACAGTTTATCTGCAACCGTGGTCCTTTTATGAAAATCCTCAAAAAAGCCATGTACTAGATTCAAGCCATCCAGAGGTATGTGCTAGGTTTGAGCCATCCCTGCCTTATTTTTATTGTTTTCTCCAACCAGATCATATTACAGAGTGTAAGTTATAGATAAGGAAGGCTAGCTTTTTATATAACCTTTGTAGTATACAGTAGTCTGGGGCCTTAACTGTCAGTTATGCCTTGCTATTCAAAGAGTGGTCATTGGGTTAGCAGCATTGGCAACCTCTGGGAGCTTGTCAGAAATGCAGAATCTCGGGCTCTACTTCAGACTTGCTGAATCAGAATCTGTATTTTAATAAAGATTTCTGGGTAATTTGATGCACATTAAAATTTAACAGTACATATATAGCATGTACTAAACATGAGTTGTGAATTTATTTATTGTCCAAAAAAACATTTATAACTGAAACTATTTTCTAGGAATCCCATTTGCTTTTAGCCTTAATACCTACAAATTAAAAACTATTTTAAAGGTGTTTTTATTTCTGAAGCATGTGAGCATTATTTGCATTTTTTTTTTAAAAAAGATTTTATTTATTTATTTGACAGAGACACAGCAAGAGAGGGAACACAAGCAGGGGGAGTGG